CTCTACAAAATATGACAATACAGATAATATTAATAAAATGAGATGGGCCGATAAGCCCAATATGTCTAAATTCTATTATAATAGACCAACTCCTATGGATGTTCTTCATGAAGAACAAGAAAACTTCTTCAATACTTCCTATTCGGGAAAAAGCATCTATGAATGGAATATTGATGGCGGTAGTGATAAACATATTTTTACTCAATGCCATCGTATGCTTATGTATAGTTCTGCTTGCAGAATTAGTGGTAACAATGATTTACAAACAGCCCAAGCTATTACTGTTGGTTTTACTGGCCAGCTTAAAGGTTGGTGGGATAATTACCTAAATAATTTAAATAAACAAGAAATTTTCTCTTCTATTAAAATTGAAGATGGTGAAACTAAACCTAATGCGGTTTACTCTCTTGTTCTCACCATTCTCGAGCATTTTACTGGAAGATTTACTAATAAATCTGAAAACACCAAAACTCTTCTTTTAAATATGAAGTGTAAAACCCTTACCAATTTTAGATGGTACAAAGATACTTTTCTATCACGAATTTTTGATATTCCTGACTGTAATCAGGATATTTGGAAAAACAAGTTTGTTGATGGTCTTTCTTACTTGTTTGCTGAAAGGATCAAAAAAGTCCTTAGAAAAGACTCAGATCATATTGCATATGAGGCTTATACTTTTGGCCAAATCGTTAGTACTTGTATTCAAGAAGGATTAAGTCTTTGTAATGAAATCAAATTAAGAAATCAGATCCGTAAGGATAATTTGTTAGAAAGAAAACAGTTAGGTCATTTTTGTGACCAGTTTGGCCAAGACAATCCTGACAAAAAAGATTCTCATAAGAATAAAAGAGAATTTAATCATAAACCTAATTATAAGAAAATAAGAAGACATTATGATAATAAACAGATTAACCATTCTAAAGATAAGCAAGATAGCGACAAGGGAAGAAATCGCTATCATAGAAAGAAGTCCTATAAAAAGGATAGTAATTTTCTTAGCACAATTGTTTGCAGAAAATGTGGTAGAATAGGTCATTATGCTAATCAATGTTATGCTAAAGATAAGATTAAAAATCTTGATATTGATGACGATTTAAAAGAAACCCTTTATAAAATTGTCATGAATTCTGAGGATGATACATATTCTAATAAGTCTGGTTCCTCTAAAGAATCGGATTTTTCCGATGATATTTCTACTAAGAGTGATGAATGTAATAATTGTGCTCTGGGTAAACCCTGTCTTAATTGCATCAAAGATACAGATAATCCTGTTGAAGATGAATATTATAAACTCATGAGTCAGTTCCAAGACCTAAATATTAATGTGTTAACTAATAATAACATTCTTGACTTTCTTAAACAAATTAAGGATCCTAGTTTAAGAGATAAGGTCATTGATCAATTACAAGATTCTGGCCCCTCACCTAGTAATACTAGCACCAGTCTCTCTAGTAAAATTGATAATAATTATTACAATATGGGAGAATTAGATAACCTTCTTAAGCTTAGGAATATTAAGAATAGTCCTATCACTATCAATGATTTGAGTCAAGAGATTTATAATCTTAAAAATGATATTAATATTATTCAAAAGAATAATTTTGAATTTTCGCCGCGTCTTTCTATTGTTGAGAAAGGCAAAGAGAAGGAAACTTTTACAGCTCAGTCTCAGTTTATTAAACCCGATGAGTTTGACAATTTAGATAAAAATCATTTATCTACCATTAATATTATTATTTCTCAAAAATGGTATTCAAAGATTTCTCTCCTTATTAATAATTCTTACAAGGAAGGAAGACTTCATTACTATGATTGATAGTGGAGCTGACCTAAGTGTTATTCAAATGGGAAAAATTCCCACCAAGTTTTTTGAAAAAAACTACACATTCTCTTTCTCACGCAGGAGGCGGATCATTAAAAATTAACTACAAGCTTAAAAATGCTTATATTTGTAACGAAGGTTGTTGTATTGCTAATGACTTTCTTATTGCTGAGGATATTACTAGTCAAATGATTATTGGCCTTCCATTTCTTTATAAGATTTATCCTCTTACATTTATTGACGAAAGAGGAATTACAGGTACTTATAATGGTAAGCCTATTTCTTTTAAGTTTATCACTAAACCTATTCATAAGGTTCTTAACTCTATCCAAGATCAAATTGATTTTAAAAATTGTCAGGTTAATTTTCTCAAAGAAGAATTTAACTCATTAACTATTGAAGATAGATTGAAAAATTCATAACTTCAAGATAAAATTAAGCTTTTATATAATAAATTCTCTATTGACATTTGCAATGAATTCCCTAATGCTTTTTGGGATAGAAATAAACATATTGTGTCTCTTCCCTATGAAGAAGGATTTAAAGATAGTCAAATTCCTACTAAGTCTAGACCTTGCCAGATGAACTCAGAATATTTAGAGTTATGTAAAAAGGAAATATCGTCCTTATTACAGAAGAAACTTATTTCCCCTTCCAAGTCCCCTTGGTCTTGTACTGCCTTCTATGTTAATAAACATTCGGAGCAAGAACGAGGAGTTCCCAGATTAGTTATTAACTACAAACCTCTTAATAAAATTCTTAAATGGATTAGACACCCTATCCCTAATAAAAAGGATCTTCTTGACAGACTAGTCAATGCTCTTATATTTTCAAAATTTGATTTAAAATCAGGATTCTGGCAAATACAAATTAATCAAACTGACAGGTATAAAACTGCCTTCAATGTCCCTTTCGGTCATTACGAATGGAATGTCATGCCTTTTGGCCTTAAGAATGCTCCTTCTGAGTTTCAACAAATTATGAATGATATCTTCTATCCGTATAGCGATTTTATCATTGTTTATATTGATGATATTTTAGTTTTCTCTAAAGACATTGAGATGCATTTTAAACATCTTGATATGTTTAAAAACTTAATCATAAAAAATGGTTTAGTTATTTCAAAACCTAAAATGATTCTTTTTCAAACTAAGATAAAATTCTTAGGTCATACTATTGAAAAGGGAAACATCATTCCCATTCAAAGAAGTATTGAATTTGGAAATAAATTTTCTGATATTATTACAGATAAAACTCAGTTACAAAGATTTTTAGGAAGTCTTAATTATGTTTCTTCTTATATTAAAAATCTTGCTAACGATTCTGCTATTTTGTATGATAGGCTTAAGAAGAATCCTTCTCCTTGGAGTGATAATCACACTAAGGCTGTTATTAATATTAAGGAAAAAGTTAAAAACATCCCGTATCTTATGCTTGCTAACCCTTTGTGGGAAAAACACGTTGAAACTGATGCCTCAGATTTGGGGTATGGGGGTATTTTAAAACAAATCAACCCTGATAATAAGATTGAATACATCTTCGATTTTATTCCGGTAAATGGAATAATTCTCAAAAAAATTATTCTACTACAGCTAAAGTAATGCTTGCTATTGTTAAATGCGTCCTTAAATTTCAGGATGATTTATACAATCAAAAGTTTACCATTAAGACTGATTGTAAAGCGACTACTTTTATGCTCTTTAAAGATTTTGAACATAATGTCTCTAAACAAATGTTTGCCCGATGGCAATCTCATCTTGCTTACTTCGATTTTGACATTGTTTATAAACAAGGGAAAGATAATGATCTTCCAGACTTTTTAACTCGTGAATATATTTCTTCATGACAGAAATGAGCTATTCTGGAAGAAACCCTTTTTCCTCTCAAAGAGGAAGGGGAGGCAGAGGTTTCCCTATTATTAAGCAAGGGAAGAAATCCCTTTACAACCAGAATATTTCCGGTGTTAGTTCTTCTTCAAAAGGAGACGAGGTCCAAAAGGAGTTTCAGGAATTCCTCAGACAAAGAGGAAAGAATATACCAATGGAGGACAATTCCTCAAAGTCAGAAGAGGAAGAATCATACTCTTCAGTTGCTCAGAAAGAATAAAAATTCTTTGACTCCCCTAAAAAAGAGTTAATTTTAGTCATTGAAAATGACGATGAGACGTTCAAAGAGTCCCCATGGATTCTTATGGATAAGTATCTCCCGGCAAATTGTTGGAAGGTCGAGACTTACAAAACGAGAGGATTCTATGAGAATATCCTCATCAGCTTGGGAAGTGTTGATATTCAACACTATCCTCCTAAGAGTAAGGTGATTAACTACTCCAAGTTCATTATCAAGAAGATCATTTCCATCCAAGAATGGGGGACTTCTCCTTTTGCTGAGAAAAGCATTACTAATGAGGTTACTAGGTCAGCCTACGAGTACAATTATTGGGATTACCTACATAGTTTTTATAAAACTCTTTTATATCAGAATCCTAAGCATTCTCACACATGGCTTATAAAAATTTGCGATAATATCAGTAGGAATCAAATTCCAAATTGGCTTTTCTCTTGGTGGGAAATTTTTGGAGCAATGGCAGACATTTTGCCTGAAGAGATTAAATCTCTCCTAGAAGAATACTCTATTAGTTTTTCTTCTTTTAAAACTCACAATACAGGTAGTAAAACTATTTGTATGTTTTGTGTTGATTCCGGTATTCCATGGGTTTGGAAATGGAAACCACAATTCGGTTTCACGACCAATGGTACGCCGTGTTTATGGAGAATTCATACTACTAGGTTTTGGAATAATCTAAATGTTATTACTCCTGGCTCCAATGAGTCACCTTTACAGGAAAATATTCGTAGGATTAAATCCAAAATGGAAGATCATAAGAAGATCTCTGCTAAGAAGACTTCATATAGTCTTCCTTCGTTCTCTGAGTTCTCCAAGCAGTATTTTGACATTTTCTCTAAAGAAAAATTACGGATCTTTATATGGACCACATGAAGAAGGACTTATTCAATGATATTGACTTTTCTGATTCAAAATCAGATGCTTCTATGAGTTCTGTTACTGACCTCCAAGATGCTCAGGATCCTAACGAAGATTATCAAGATCTTTCTTTACAAGAAAGTTTTGATTTGCTCAAATCCTCTCTTAAAGAGAAAATAAAGGAAGGAAAATGTTAATGGAAGACTGGGAGATTTATCTCGTACGCTTCAGTTCATCACCAGATTGGAACATCTGGGAAGTTCCTTTTCATGTTAGGTTCGATGAAAAATCTAACGAGATCACAGGTAATAATTACTCAGGATTCTTAGAAAGAAGATTACGGCCCTTGAAAATTCTATTCTAATTGGGGAAGGGATTAGGCAGAGGAACAATTTTGTTGTCCAGTCCTTAAAAGATTTTAAGAAGACTCTAAGACTTCTGAAGAAACAAGCTTCTTTAATGGCGATTTAAGAAATTTTTTATCTTAGAGCATTTCAGCAAGATGCATCTACAGTATCCGACAAATTAAATTTCATCATTGCTTACACCAGCAGACCAAGCACTGTTCATGAATAGTAAAAACACTATTCACACTTTTTATACTATTCACACTTTTTTATCTTTTTGAAATCCGGGGCTGATGTCCGGCTCTTTCTCTTTTCTATTTATTGTTGGAGTTTCCAACTCCTTAAGGCAGACTTTTCAGAGACTCTCTCTCTCTCTTTTTAATTCCTCTCTTGTATAATTATCGTGTGGAATATCAGTTGGTTTGAAGTTCTTGGTGTTCTTTAAGGTACTCTTGCTTTCATCTTCAGTCTTTTATTTTTTTTTCAATGATCGCCGCCTCAATGGCCGGCTAGGTTTCCTGTATTAAATCATGGCTTGACTCAACGTTACTTTACTATCATGTGCATTTGTGAAATGTAAGATTTATTTTACTTAAGATATCAAGAGTAGAGTTTGGTTTGACCAGAAGGTATGAGGTTTCCAGTGATATTCATAAGTTAACCATGTGGGCTTGCCTAGTTGCCGTTATGCCGATTCCAGGCGCAGGCGTTTGTGGGCGTTAAGCTTTTTTCAGGTTAACTTATGGACTATGGATGTCCTCAATAATATCCTATCTGGTTTCTAAAAGATCCAACATGATACTATTGATATAATAAGTACGATATAATAAGTACGATCTTGTTTTATATGGTATCAGAGCCATGTTAGTAATGTATGTTTTGTTCTTAAGTCGTGATTTAATACATTTATATATATATATATATATATATATATATATATATATATATATATATATATATATATATATATATATATATAATGTCCTAACACATATTTTTGTGACAAATGCAAATGCCTCAAGGTTGATGAAAGTGTCTCAAAAAGTTTCTTAGTAAAAAATAGTACGATTTTTAGAAGACACATATAAATGCTCAAAATATTATATCGGGACATATAGGAGTGTCTGGAAAAGAAAATTGTATCGGGACATATAATAAGTGCCCCATGAGCTATTGCGACGCACAACTACGCGACATTTGTTTTATTTGCCCTTATAGCTGCAAGTGCCTCTAAATGGTATGTTTTAGGACATTTTTCAGTGTCCCTAAAAGACATTTTTGTTGTAGTGGAATGGCAAAAAGGTCCATCCCAAGGGACTTAAACGTACGTTGGTCAAAAAAAAAAAACAGTGTTTCAAATAAACTCATTCCTATGTCTTTAGTAAAAAATATCCTCCATAATATAATCTTTGTCAATTCCATATATTATGCTCTAACTTCCTTAATATTACACATTGACCCCGGATTTAAACAAATTTATCACATTAACCCCCATTTTAATAATTTTTTGAATTTTTTTTTTTTTTTTCAGAAAATAATTTTTTTCTGAAATTTTTTTTCCGGTCATGTTCCGGCGTTGACCACCGGAGACCGCCGGTCTCCGGCATTGACTTTTGTTTTTTCCGAAAACTTTTTTTTTCTGAATTTTTTTTCCGGCTAGTCAATCACCGTTGACCGCCGGTCTCCGGCTTTGACTTTACTTTCTTTTTTTTTTTTGAATTTTTTTTTTCTTAGAAAAAAATATTTTAATTAATATTAGTGTCTTGGCTGCTAAATTACAGTCTCAGACAGTAATATTATAGTATTACTGTCTGAGACTATAATATTATGAATATTATTTTTCCGAACAGTAATATTACTGTCCCAAATAGTAATATTATTGAATGAGACGGTAATATTACGGTCGGAGACAGTAATATTACAGTCGAAGACAATAAAAATGCAGGCGAAGACGATAAAATTAATTAATACAGTAATATTACTATTGGATACATAATTTAGCAGTCAAGACAGTAATATTAATTAAAATAATTTTTTTTAAGAAATTTTTTTTTTTTAAAAAAAATCTATTAAGAGTTAAATTACCGTCTTTGTCAGTTAAATAAATGCTGGACACAGTAATTTAGTAGCCAAGACAGTAATATTAATTAAAACAAAAAATTAGGAAAAAAAAGTCAATTAACAGTTAAATTACTGTCTCCGACAGTTAAATAACTGTTGGAAATAGTAATTTAGCAGTCAATACAGTAATATTAATTAAAATACTTTTTTTAAGAAAAAACAAAATTATATAAAAAAAAAGTCAACGCCTGAGACGCGGTCAACGGCGGTTGACCTTCCGGAAAAACATTTCAGAAAACAAAAGTTCTCAAAAAAAAAAAAAAATCAACGTCGGAGACCGGCGGCTGACCGGCGATCTCCGGTGGTGACGGGTAAAAATGGAAATTATGGTTAAAATTGGTTAATTGGTGAAATTGGGCTAAATTGGGGTGTAAATCATGAAATTGGAGTTGAATTGAGTTTCAATGAATTGAGGGTAATTTTGGTATATATAAAAGGATTTTCCTTATTTGCAAATAAGTTTGAATGAGCTGGATTTATTTGAAATACAAAAAAGTTGGATGTCCCTCTTTTAATTAAGTGCCCTTGTCATGGGCCTATTTGCCATTTGCCCTTATTCATAAATGAAACATAGTATTTTCAAAACATAGGTTTCAAAATTTTCAACACTTAGGTGTTGAGAACATGTCTGTTTCATTAAAAAAAAAAATTGTTTTTTCTTCTTTCCCAGATAACAAATGGAAGACATATGTTAGATGGGTCTTTCTAGCGTGCGATCGCTCAAATCGTATCTGAGGTCCGATAGGGTCTCATTGGCCGCCACGTGTCCAAAAGTAAATGTTTATTTAAATTATAATTGTGTATTGTCATAAATGCCCTTATGCTACAGAAATTAAATTTAAACATTAAAATTAATAAATTAAATGGAAAGGACTTTATTATCCTTGTATGACTTCATCTCTTCAACAATTCTCTCCTGCTCGTGTCGTTTCATTTTCTAATCTTGAAGAGAACTTTGACATCTGGTAATCCCACATATTTTCGGCGACAAAACCCCACAAATTTCCGGCGAAAAACCCCCACATATTTCCGGCCAAAAAACCGCTGCACTTGGGATGTCGAATTTTGATGAATCAGGTATCTCATTAATTGAATATGTTGTGTGTTATTTGAAAAATTAGCGGTTTGATTAAGTTTACTCGCATTATTCGATTTAGATTACAACGGCGTCGACGAATTAGATCACAAGAGCGGGGATGAATTAAAGCACAACAGCGACGAGAAGGATTCAGCCTCGTCAACTTGGGCAGAAGAAGGTGTTTCGACTTCGAACCGAGAAGGGAACAATGGCGACGCAGACGATGAAAGTTTGCAACTCGTTCAACGATTTACAACACTAACATTTGGTGATGCAAACGAAGCAGGTGCGCATTATCAATGTTTCGCGCAACTGTGTGGATTTGACATTCTCAAGAACTCTGTGAAAAGGGTAGGCGACATCATTTTGAATAGGGTATGGGTTTGCTCTCGATAGGGCCACCGTAAGGAGAGAATTGATGAACGCGATCGATTGCGTGGTCATAAACCAGAGACGCGGTGTGGATGCCCTGCTCTATTTCGTGTTGCTCTCAATCGTTCTATTGGGATATACAGAGTGACTGACTTCGAGCCTAAGCACAATCACAGTATGGAAACCCCCAATACCAGCCATATTCTTCGTTGCAATAGGTAATTCTATCTTAGGTTGGTTGACTAGAAATATTCGTTTGCCTGAAATTTACACATCAAATTCATTTAAATGTACCCCTGCCTGTTTGTTGGAAAATTGGGTACAGAATATTGACTCCAGCCACAAAGATAATGTTCAATACGATGACCCATGTAGGGTGCAAACCTAGTCAAGTTCTGGACCTTCTGGATCATCTCGGTGGAGGCAGTGCAACTGGCGTTTTGAATACGAAGGACGCCTACAACTACTTGAACAGTGAAAGGTTGAAACGGATTGAATCAGGGGATGTGAATACTCTATTGGGTGTACTTGACGGGATGAAGTTAAAAGCCAAAACACTGGAATACAAACACGGTATCGATCAAGGTGGAGCTCTAACAAGAATATTTTGGCACGACGGTATATCAAAAGCCGAGTATGAGGAGCTTGGTGATGTCTTAGTATTTGACAGCACCTACAAGACCAACATATATTGTTTTCCAGTAGTGTTGTTCTGCGGAGTCAGCTCCCATCTGTGCACATGTATTTTTGGAGTTGCTATTATGTACAAGGAGACAACTCAACAATACATGTGGTTGCTGCAGACTTTGCTAGAATTCATGGGAGGAAAGCCACCCAAAGTTGTTTTGACAGATCAAGATGGGGCAATGCGCGCGGCCATTAGGATTGTGTTTCCTAAGGCAGCCCATCGGCTTAGTTGCTGGCATATTTCATGTAATGTCGAATCAAACATAAAAAAGCCAGGCTTCTCGACAGAATTTTCCAATTTAATGAATATGCCATGCTCCGTACCCAAGTTCGAAGATAGGTGGTCTCCATTGATTGCTAAATTTGGTCTTACAGACGATCCATACCTAGCTGATCTTTACGAAAAACGCAGTCAATGGGCAGAATCATTTTTTCAGGACCAATTCTTTGCTATGATGATGAGCACACAACGTGCGGATTCAATGAATGCCTCACTAAAACAGAAAGTGCGTGCTGGTTCCACACTTACAGATTTTTTCAGACAATACCACACAGTGGCTTGTCGATGTTGGCAAGCGGCTCACATCTGCTTTCTCGTATCAGCAGACGGACAACCTCTACACCAGTGGGAGTGTTAAGATGAGGGAGGACGGGATTGAATTTAATATCACCCCGACTGACGGGGATGATGAATCTTGTTCACCACTACATTCTGACAGTGAGGATACAATTCATAGTGTCAAACGTCCCAGAAATGTGGTCGATCCTTGTAAAATTGTTTCAAAAGAAGGATCCATACGAAAGAAGCAGTTATGCTCGTTTTGCAGGTTAGTTCTACGTATCTATTTAATATACATACATAAATTTGAGATGAGTATTATTTCTAATAGTTTATTTGAGAATTTTTAAGGAAACCTGGACACAAGACAACTACTTGTGAGCTTAATCCAAAAGCGGGTTTTCCGTCTCGTGATAAAGTTAATTCTAAGCAATCAGCAAGTGGTTCGGACAATGTGGGCAGCAGAAGCTACGTTCCCTAGTTTTCTCCAATGTCATCGGAGCACAGTCTTGCCGACACGAATGTGGTGATACATTCAAATATTCTTTACAATATGCACCATCAACGTTCTCAATACCAGGTTTAACAATTTATCTTTATGAAGCATCTATTCAATTATTTCGCAAATATGAGAATGGTAATTTCTTCTTCTAATATTGAAGGATTGAAGCAACGATGACAATTCTCTCCAGACCCCAGCATTTGTGGAAAGTGTTGTCCAATGAGACCACCACGACCTCGACCACCAATGTGAATATCCGTCTAATTTGTAATTGCTATTATGTAAATTTGCATATAACAACATTGAAGAACGAGATCTATAACATTTAAAAGACACAAAATATAAAAAAATAAAGGAATTTTCACAACAAATGAAAATATGACAACCCACAAAACTTAACTGTCATACGGTAATATTGTTCATGAAGCAACCGTTAACAAACCACTTGGTGTATTTATAACAATAACAAAACCTGGATACAAACACAAGCATTGATATCATTCGCCCTATGCACCGTCGGGGGAGGAATGGGGCAATTTAGTCAGACCACCGATGGAAAGAGCTTTAATCTGAGCTTCCAAAGCGGCAACTTCACCACGCTTCAACTCCAGTTGCTTATTCAAATATTCATGAATGAAATCCCGCACCATAATGCACCCTCTTTCACCCGTAGCCGGAGTGGACGAGGTGGCAAGTTTGGTGAGATCGTCCACCTTCGCATTACACTGAAGTAGCTCACGGCTCACTGTGATCGCACCTGGTCTGTGGTTGTTGAATCTCCCAGACCATTGAACCTTGTATTCCTGCTCACGCAGAACTGCAAAAATCAGAACAGGGAAATACAGAAATCGTGGCCTTCTCTCTGCCTGATGTAAGATCTGGCGAAATACATATTCCCCAATGTTGAAATCCAATCCCCGACCCACGGAGAATAGTAACTCCGCCTTACCCAGTGACACGTCATTGTCACTAGTCGGGTACCAATTGGATGAGCCAATCTCGTGCAGAAGCCAATATTTCTTTGTCAGGTGGTCCCGCGAAACCCCAGACTCCGGCCAGTTATCTCTCTCGCAATCTCCTCAGCTGAAGCCCCAGATGTCACCCCTCCGACGTCCTTGGTGCCCAAAACCTGATTCAACCTAGTCGGGTTGAACTCAAAAACCTCCCCGTGGACATAGACTTGCCCAAAATATGCGGATCCACTTACCCCAGCTCTTTTCTCCAAGTTCGCATAAAAGTCACGCACAACCCCTTCCTCAAAAGCTATTCTGGCCGGATTATCCGCCAACACTACGGTCCCCATGAAATGGCTCCATTCCAAGAGATGAGTGACACCCCAACGGGTCAAACTCCCGTGAACCGGCCTCTCAACCATAAACTTCAACCCTTCCAATTGTTCTCTCAACCTCGCTGCCCTGTCATTGTAAAAGAAGTAATCCCTAGCAATCAGTTTGTCGTAACCCATCTCAAATAACCCGTCGTCGGTGGATCTGCAAACCGATCTCTGTATTTTACGCGAGCAAGACATTATGTAAGTTTGGGTTGAGGAGGGAGGGAGATATAATTGAAGATGAGAAGATGACTGAATATTTTCAAGCTGATTCTCACACTACGGCCTGATATGGATGGTGCGGTTAAAAGAAGGTTAGATGAAACCCAAGCGTCTTGAGGATATTTGCACGACAACCGAGGTTGTGGTTAAAATTTTCATATTAGATGTTATAAAATTATGTCCAAAAACAAATATTTAATTAATATAAACTTCAATACTAGTTAGATTAGAACATATTATTATATTACGGTGTGAAATAACTTCAATACGCAGGATGTTTTTTTATATATTTCAAATGGTTAAATATCAATATTCGACATTCACAATACATCAACAAATAAACATATTATAAAGGCAAAAAACTACTTATCATTTATATTAAATTATAAATCAAACTGTTTAGTATACGTACTGCATTACAAATTAAATAAGTAAATTCCACAAAAAAAAAAAAAAAAAAACTAGAACCCTTTGACGTGTAGATTTATGAATGTAATTAAAATTAAATTAATTGAATACAAACATTTCAAGTGTGTTTTGTACCTGCATATCGAAATAAAAAGCACATATCTATACAGAAATGTCATAATCGAATTCAACCAGTTTGTTACGATTCCAAAGAAAAGTAAATTGGAATCCAAACAATTCAAGTGTGTTTTCTACCTGCATATACAAACCAAAAGCAAAATACTATACAGAAATGTCATAATTGAATCCAACAAGTTTGTTTGGATTCCAATGAAAAGTAAATTGGAATCCAAACGATTCAACTGTGTTTTCTACCTGCATATCCAACCCAAAGTACATCACACCAAAAAAATATTCATATTGTTCAGTTGAAATAAAAATAATAAACCAAATTTTACATATTGTTTTCAAAAAAATAAAATAAACTGCAAAATTAAAAACATTGTTTGGAAAAAAAAATAAACTGCAAAACTAAAAATATTGTTTGATAATCGCTAATTAATAATAAGAACAAACTTGACTTTCTTTAGATAATCATGGATGAGAGGCATCATTGGGCTGCCTGGGCACCTGTTCTGTAACAGTGTCGAAGAAACTCCAAACTACAAGCTCATTTGATAACTCCATTGGAGTAGAAAATTCCTATCTTCAATTATCAAAACTGAGTATTACAAATAAATAATTTACAGAATAACAAAAATATTACAAATTTTTTCACTGATTACTATGTAGGGACCATGATAATAAACCCTAATATATACGGGATCATTCCAAACAATATGGAAGCAATTTACAAGCAGATTACAAACAACATGAAATGGAGTCCAACCAACGAACTCAATAATTACGTGCAAAGCATTTCAGTTACGACAAAAAAATGTGGATTATGTACCTGCAAAACAAAGGTCAACTGCCGCACACAATATGAACATAATATGCACACAATATCATCCAAAATCAAAATAAAATTTAAATATTCAAACATAAAATTAAAAAAAAAACAAAAAAAAAGAGCAGTAATTTAAAATTGTTTAAAATACATACCAAATAAAAAAAATTGTTTTTAAATTAATGGGGGTGGGAAGATGGCTGTCCGGGGGCTTCGGGGAGAGCATCCAACAACGACTGCAAATAGGCGATCTCCTGGCGCCTTAAATCCTACTGCCTCAAGATATGTGCACGGAATGTACCGAGCAGCAACAAATAAGCATCATTGGACGCCGTTGTCGGATTAGGCGGGAGGGTTGGGTGTATAGGCAGATCGTCAACCCTATCGCTCTCCAAGAGATCTTGGCCGATTGTTAGAGGCTCCGTTGGAAAGTTCCAAACGGACCCAGCCAACGAGGGTTTGTAACCCTGCTCACATAACAACACAAAAATAAGAATGGGAAACGTTATTGTGAGTGGGTTTACCTCAGCCTTTCGCATGACGTGGCGAAAAATGAATTCGCCCAAGTTGAACACAATCCCCCGGCCGAGACAGTACAAGAACTCCGCCTCCTCCTCGGTCACGTACTCCTTGTCAAAGCTCGGAAACCAGCTAGAATAGCCAACTTGGTGTAGTAGATAGTATTTCCTTGTCAGGTACGTGCTCCGCATACCTACCCCATGTGGCCATTCACTTGCTCTCCCACCGGTGAGCTCCATGGCCAACTCCTAGTACAATGCACCGGAATGTTTGCCCTCGTCTGCCCTCCCCAATAACCCGTTTATCTTCCCCGGCGTGAACTCATACCACCGCGACCGGACGTACACACGCCCGAAACCCGGAGATCCAACCTCGAAAGTCGCCATTTCAAGATTGGCGTAGAATTCGAGGATAACATCTTTCTCAAACCTCCGGTTTCGGGATGTTCTACCATCTCAGCGTGAGTTAGAAGCCCCCCCCCTCCTCCTCAGCAGTGGTCGATAGTCCTCTCAGCCAAGAACCTTGCCGACGAAAGGTATAGTCGCCGAATTTCAGCCCTTTGGTTAAAAAAATGGTAAGTGAATGGTTGTTTCAAGTCAATATCCATTTTTCAGATGGGTGGTGAGAATAAGGGTTTTTCTGGTGAGAGAGAGATATATTTGCAGATAGAGATATTTGCAGAAAGAGAGAATGGCAGTGAGAATAATTTGAGAGAAAGAGAAATGTCTATGGAATTCTGGAGATGGAGGGTTAGGGTTAGAGAAGCGTCAAAAGGTGTAGTATTGCACTAATATCGAGACAGTTAAACGGTGGATTTCGTGTAACCTAATCCTGGTGGCTCATCTGCTGCCACATGTCCTATGTTGTATTTTTGTAATGGGCGGTGCTAAAAACCCTAAACTTGAAAACCCGAAAATTTGTTCTTTGATTCTAGTTTTTGACATTAAAATGAATATATTTAAATAAAATGCATGAATATTTATGATGGATTATTTAGTTAAAATTTAGATGATTCTTTTTCCGGGATGCACGTTTGCATATCAAAATCATTAATTACCAATTTAACACCTCATTTAATTCCTCATTGCATTGAATTACATATTTATTTCCTGGTCGCACTACAAATCCCACCCGATATTTAATAAAGTATGCAATAATATAAAATTTATTACCCAACTTTCTCTCTCCAGAATTTGGAGAATTGATATAATTTCCATTACAGTATCTCACGTTCTACTTTATTGAACTCATACGCAGAATTAAATGCGAAAGGATGCCTGACTGCGTATATGTCACATCGACACATGCTAAAACTGGCGGCAATGAGTATTTTCGATAATAGTGCACTTGTCTGAGTGGTTTTGTCAATAAAGAAGGAATTTGTTACATGGCCAGCATCTCACTATTATTATTATTATTATTATTATTATTATTATTATTATTATTATTATTATTATTATTATTATTATTATTATTATTATTATTATTATTATTATTATTATTATTATTATTAAGTTGAAGTGCAACAATAATGTGAGTTATCTTAATTGT